AGCGGAGCCTTGCGCGGCGTCCCGGCCTCGCACTTCGTGGGCATCGACGGCGTCCGCGCCTTCCTGCACTCCTACTCGCACGAGGTGTCGCTCACCGCCGACTCGCGCAAGAGCCAGCTCCGCTTGTCGGGCGGCAGCTGCTGCGACACCCTCCCGGCCCGGCCGCCCGCTCAGGCTTCGGGTGATCTCGTCCCTACGGGAGATCACAGTGCCGACAATAGTGACCAAGCCTCCTTCCAGGTACGTTAGTTTTTTTCAACCTGCTTTCGTGTGTGTGGTGCTCAGCATTCCTAAGAGTAGCCAAAGGCGTTTAAAAGCGCACGGTTTACAGTCTTGGAAGTCACGTTTTATGATGATGGCCAGCTCGTGTATGTCACCTCCTGAACGCATTCTGGGTCTGCTGTGTGTGTCTTATGTGCCGTGTTCTGTGCCCGCTGGGCAGAGGTCATCATACTCAGCTTTCTGTAAGTTTGGAACGTTCCATTGCATGTGTAACCGCACAAGGAACTTTCAGCCTCTAGTTCTTCCTCTGGCACTTCCTTGCAATTGTTGAAGTACTTCTTGCTCGGCTTGCTCGGGCATCACTAGTACCCAGTTCTTAGAATTTCTTACAGTTTCGTTGCCACCCCCTGCATCTGCTCTGAAACACTAGTAGAATTGGGCAAATCCAAGTTCTATGAAGAGATTCGTATTACATGATGAAAAATTCCCCAGATATCCCATTGAGTTTTTTTCCACTGCTTGGCTTCGTGACTTAACCTTTGGAGTCTACAGACCTGTAATTGTCAGTTAGTGCACAGGCCTAGACATCAAAATGGAGTATATTTCCTAGAAAACAGATGAAAAACATTTCAAAAGAAAGTCAGATTGTCTTGGTAGTGGCCTGCCTTTTTTCCTCCATTACTGGTCATTCGTCATTGACTGAGCCATCTTTTGGGATTTCAGGAATAGAATTAATGAATAATATTACACTGCTTTATTGTTTGTTAATCTGCTATTTAAGCTGTTGATATGCTGTGTCTTTGCAGGGAAGGCGAGGCTTAGCCTCATGTGCAGAGACTCCCTGTGCTCATACCTCTTGTTCTGATGGTGTTTTGTTATGTGCCAGGTCGTTACTTGTTTTATCCCGACATGTGTAATACCGGTCTTCCTTGTCACTATTAGCTTTTCTGAACAGACGTATTGCTTTATTATCAAATGGAAGTTTACATGATTATCAGGGTCTGTTGTCTTCCCGACAGCAGATTTGTTTGAGCAGGATCAGAAACAGAATATTAATGGCATTCATCATTCATCATTGACTAAACAGGTTGTTAGCACTTCTGGAATATAATTAATGAATAATATTATGTTACTTTATTGTTTGTTATTCTGCTATTTAGGCTGGTGATACACTTTATCACTTCATTTAGGGAAAATAAACTAGTGTCACATAATAATGACTGCTTTCAAGTTGAGAGAAAATCGTACCTTAAAGTTCCCGGTGAATGTTCGCATAGATTTTTTGTGCTGATCCTAGAGCTTGCTAAAATATTGTGAGTTTGTACTTGTGATTTTGTGTGTGGTGGGAACGTAATATGAGACATCACCTTATGCTTCACATGAACTAACCTCGTGGTCCTTACCACTTTCTGCTGTCGTCCATGAGACACAAACTCACATGCGATAGGCATATGGGAGTTTCCCTCTGTGATGCAGACTGGTTGTTAGCTGCGTCCCCCTGGGACTTAACTGTGCTGTGGCCAGCAGGCTCGTGTACAATGGGGAAGAGAAATTCCTGGAACTAGGACATATTGATCTCCTCTTCAGAACCGTGATTTGGAGGGTTCTTCGGTATGTGGAGATGCACGAATATGTGTGTGGGTTGCCATACGCAGTTCGCACTATATGGGAGACAGCAAACTGACGCTGACATGTTGCAGCAGAGTCCCTCTTCCCCTATATAGGTATCCACATCCTTCCCTCGACCTTATGTAGAGATGCCCACATGCTTCCTAGCTCTTGACTCCTGAAACACTACAAGTTCAAACCAACTTCTGGTTCTGATAGGTTATTAATTTGTTACCGTGGGTGGTGTATAGGGGCAACTATAAGAAAAGAAACTGCCGTCCACTGGGTGAATGGCCAGCGTTAGCAGGAAGACATGTTTTCTAAAGACGCTTTACTGAGAAGGGGAGGAGGTCTTCACACTGGCATCTACAGAAATTCAGGGTTGGTGTGTATGCGAGAGCTACTCCACCGGGTAAGTAGTGTGGAGGGTTTTCTAACTATTTCTAGTCTTCCGCGTAAGGGGCTGTGATGATTCAGCATTCCTTCAGGTCTCTTATTTTCTTCACCGTCAGAGAGATGAGGTTTCCATGTACAGGTGAGATACAATGGCTTTTCACGAGGGTGGGATCTGTCTCTTTTCTATTGCCTTGTTCAAGCAAGAGTAATCACTGTCAACATTTGCCAGAAAATATTCTTAAAGTTTGAGACCCACTGCAATAACGGCCAGCTTAGGACATTAGGATGTGGTTTGACACAGACAAAAGAAATTCGGGGTTGGGTTGTATGGCATTGATATGATGATGCTGGTTTTCGAAGGCCGAGAGAGGTGGGATCCGGTAGGTCGGGTGTGACCGCTATGGTTTCGTCAGCAGCTGGGATTCCCGGCTTTCCTCCTCCATCAGCGATCATTGTTCAAAGTGGGAAAGATGGGTACTAGCTTGGGATCTTCCAACTATCGAAAACAAACCCACTATCTATGAGCAGTGCTTTAGCGTTCGTCTCGTCCTGCCATTTCTCTCACGGTGATGAGAGGTGGCAGCGGGGACACGCCCGCGCCCTCACCCTGGAGACCAGTAAGATCACCGTGAGGCAGAGACAGAGATCCTGCCCCACGTCCTCCGAGCAACGAGGAAGGATTTGTCCTGCACAAGACTTGCAAGTGTAAGGAATTCAGACAACGGGAAATCCTAGCTGCACCGCTTTAGCACAGAAACAAGTTTTCCGTTTCGCGCTCCTGACAAGATCTGTATTTTCCACCCCGCGCGTGAGTGCGATTTAAGGACGTGCGTAGCAGGACCTTCGGGCGGTTCCCTTCCTCTCGGACGCTGCGGTTCTCAGACACGGACTCAGGGTGTCACTGTCGGCCAAGGCGGAGAAGTGGCTCCGCCGTCGGCTCCTCCCCGGCCCTGACGCCCGCGCAGTGCCGCTCCGCAAGGACTAGAGCAGAGAGGAGAGCAGGGTTTGTCCGACTCAGCCAGTCCTCCGACCGGCAACAGGGATTTCATATATTTGTTTCTCTCAGGTGCAGATACAGCTGCGCGAAAAGCCTATTTTTAAATCGTCTGCAGAATACGCTTGAGCACAGAAGAGGATGGATGTCGTACCGGCAGCGCGGGGTCGGGTAGGGCCGCTGGCGCGAGACCTGGGGCTGAGCCCGGCGGAGCTGCCGGCACGCAAGCTGCGGATAGTCTCTGGGGACGAAAAGCAGTACTTCAGTCTCGGGGAAGATAATGCAGATCTGCGGGTAAACGAGAGGATAGACCGAGAGGGCATCTGCGGGGCTGTGTCGCCCTGTGTCCTCAGTTTGGAGGCAGTCGTGGAAAACCCATTCAATATATTTCATGTGAGCGTTACTATCCAGGATATCAATGACAATGCGCCGCAGTTTGACAGAGAACTTGTTGCCATGGAAATGATCGAGTCTACGCCTCCCGGGGCCAGGTTCCCACTGGGCAGCGGCAGAGACCCCGACGTGGGGGCGAACTCGTTACAAAATTACCAACTTACCCCCAACCCGCTCTTCTCCCTTGCAGTAAGGGAGAGTCCTGACGGGACAAAACAGGCAGAACTAGTACTGGAGAAAAGCTTAGATCGAGAAAAACAGAGAAATCACCATTTGATACTGACAGCGGTGGATAGCGGGGATCCAGTCCGGTCCGGGACCGTCCAGATCAAGATTAAAGTGACTGACGCAAATGACAATCCGCCGGTATTCACCAAAGAGCTCTACAAGGTTCGACTGCTGGAAAATCTGCCGGAGGGCTCCTTAGCTTTTCAGGTGAAAGCTACTGACGGCGACGAAGGTGCAAATGCAGAAATCACCTACACTTTCAGTCACATCTCAAACAGTGCTCGCCAGCTCTTCACTCTGGACTCCAGGACAGGGGAAGTGAAGGTTATAGGCCCCTTAGATTACGAAGAAGGGAAATACTACGAAGCTACTGTTGAAGGCAAGGACGGGGGCGGGCTCAGCGCGCACGCCAAAGTGCACATAGATGTTATAGACGTGAACGACAACGCGCCAACCCTTTCCCTGCTGCCAATCTTGAACCCGATACCAGAGGATTCGGTCCCGAGCACAGTTGTAGCTGTGATCAATGTCCGTGACAGAGACTCGGGAGATAACGGACAAGTGAGCTGCAACATCCACGGCGATTTGCCTTTCAGACTAGAACCGTCATCAGAGAACATCTATAAACTAATAATAGCCAGTTCCCTGGACAGAGAAAATGTCTCCGCTTACAATATCACCATCGCTGCCAGGGACCGGGGCAGCCC